GGGCCCGTTGCCGCGGTTTCGGTGGGGGGCAAAGGGCACGTCCGCAGAGAAAAGGCGCGCCCCGCCCCGCGGCGGCGTCTAACGGGGGCACCACTTGTCGATCTCTGATGTTCAGCATGCGGTTTCGAGCGTGGCGCCAGGCGTGGGCCCAGTTGCCACCGCATGGCCCGCGACGGGCAGCCAGCCCACAGGGCGCGACGTGGCGGGCCGGAACCCACTCATTGGGTCAGATCTGCGAGCGTTTTTTTTTTTTTTGGGGGGGGGGGTATGACGCGCTGCGGCGTTTGCCCTGCGTGGCGGAAGCATATGCCTCACGCTCCACCGCTGCCGCCTCGCCCGCTGTGGGCAGGGGCCCTTTTTCGCAGCTCCACGTGGCGGCGACGGGCCTTTTTGACGATGTTGGCTGGCGCACCGGCCAGCGAATCAATTTGCAAGCATCAAGGAAAAGGGGGCATGCTGAAGTTTTTCTGGAAGTTGGCTGCGAAGGGGAGAAACCCGCTGGCGAAGGACACACAGTACGCGGCAATCCGTCACTTCCCGGGTGGGATGCGGGAGGCCAATGGAGGGCAGGATCGTGGATCATGGGTCGTGTGGGGTGGAGGGTAGGAGAACGCGGGCGCGTGAAGGCTTGCAGTCGTCTGCGTTATGCTTCGCAAGCGCTGGCTCACATTGGGGAAGGGCCGTGAAGGGGCACGTGTGGCATGTGGCAGCGCGTGTTCTGCTTTGCGTCTGCTGCTGAGAGAGAACGGGTGTTGTAGTCTCTTTGCTTCGCGGAGGTTCATTTCCCTACGAGTTTTGTCTCTGTCGCATCCGTTGCTTTCGTGTTCGCCGAGTGCATTGACGGCCGCACGTGTGACCATATGCTCTCACCGGCGCTCACTCCTTCCCTTCTCTGCTTTTTGTGCACCGTGTCCTCCTTTCTTCTTCCTTCTTTTTTCTCTTGCCGTAGGAATTCACAGACCACGCAGCAGGAGAGTCGCAAGGCAGCGGGTATGGCGGTGCGTTGGGGGCGGCGTGGCGGCTGCGCGCAGTTGGGCTTGCAGCCCTCTGCTGCGCCGCTGTGCCTTGCCGTTATCTTTCTTCTTGTGCTGCTGCTGTTTGCCCCACACACTGCAGCTTCCAAATCCGCAGTTTCCAAGACCCAAGTGAAGGTGTTGCTGATGAAGCTAATTGATCCTTCCGGACACAACTCCATGTCCACCGCTTTTTACTCCGGCGTGTATGCCTCGCTGGGGGCACACAACTCTACTGCTGCGGGCGATGTTCTTGTTGAACTTGTCAAAAGGGAGGTGAAGGAGACCGAATACGTCACCGTCCTGGAGGAAGTGATGCAGAAGGAAAAAGATATTCTTGCTCTTCTGACTCAGTTCGGCGATACGTACTTGAGGACTGTGCTGCCGGTATTGTCTCGCTTTGACCTTGTCTCTTTTGCTCCGTTCACTGGGTCGAGTGCGGTGCGTGGGTGGAACCCCAACACGTACTTTGTGCGTGTTGATCCTGCGGCGGAGCTGCTGGCACTTCTCCGCTACGCCGTAGCTCGGCTGCGGGTACTTCGGCTGGGCTTCATGTACCTGCAGGGGGTCTTCTTTGGCGACAATGAGTATGAGCAGGCACGGCGTGTGATGTCGGAGATGGGCTACAAGCTGAGCGCCGTGTTCACTCTGAATAGCTCTTTGACTGGTGAGGCCGACCCGAAAGAGTTTGATGCTGCGTGGGAGCGGTTTGCTGCGACTCGGCCGCAGGCTGTGATTGTGTTTGGCTCACTGGTAGAAGACACCATGAAGTTCATCAGGAATATGCTGACGGACGATCGTACCGCTGGTGCGTACCTGCTGGCCCCCGTTGTTTTGCAGCCAGCCGTTTTGAAGAATTGGCGTGCTGCCGTGGCTGGTGGTGGTGCGAAGTTTGTGCCCGGGCAGGTGATCACGACGGGGACGAACCCGCTGGCGAAGGACGTGCAGTATGAAGCCATTCGGCGCTTCCAGGGTGTGATGAAGGACTACCTGGCGAACAGTGGGCAGAAAGACTACAACGACACGGAGCATTTTCTGAACAATGACGATGACGGCGAGCTGATGGTCGATGGGTGGATTGCCGGCGAGGTGCTCGCACAGGCGCTGCGTAATTGTAAGGGGGTGAGGGATCGCAAGGCGTTTATGGCGTCTATCTTCAACCAACGCCGGTATTTAATCGACGATCTTGTGCTCGGCGACTACGGTGGGGGGTGCAAAGGTGCGGCGGCATCACAAGGGGCCACCTGCAACTGCAACGAGGGGGGCCACACGGTGCACATGAAGCATTTTGTGGAGGACTACCGAGCAGAAGCAGTTAGGAAGGGGCTTATGACGTTTCAGTTGTCAGATTGTCAACATCAAGATGAACATTTGTCGCCGCCGCTTATTGGGGTGGGGTTTGTAATGACTGATAGCACTGTTGCACGAACTGCACTTGTCGAGTTGGAGGCCGGCTATTTGTTGGTGCATACGAACCGAAAAAAAACTTGGAAAAACAGTATGGTCAACCTTTCTCCTGTCACCTCCACCCTTGGCAATGCCCGTAACGTCCTGCTGTCGGAGATGCAGTTACGGCGTGTTCATGGAGTTGCGGGTGTTGTGACGGAGGCGGTGCTGGGCGTGGAGACTGTGGTCTTCATCGACCCGCTGCAGCTTGAGCCGCGGCTGAACAGGTTCCGCGGGCACGTGATCCACCTGTCGCCGACGCTGGAGCAGCAGTTCTTCGTGCTTGCGGAGTACCTCAGGAACACGAGTGTCCGTTCGGCGCACGCGGTGATCCGCGGCGAGGAGGCGGCTGCTGTGGCGGAGGTGCTGCGGCGGTCGCTGGTGACGTTTGGCGGGTCGCTGCAGTCCACGACGCTGCTGGCCGGCGGAGACGCGTTGGTGGGTCACCTGCCGGCGGAGGGCGACGTGTTCGTGGCGGGGCTTGCGACTGGCGACGTCGCTGCGATCGCGAAGCACGTGGCGTCACACGACGGTGTGCGTGTGTTCGTTGCGTTCTCCGAGTTTGCGCTTCTGCACGCCGCCTTCGTCGCTGCGTTCGATGGCGGTGCGGGTGCCGACCGTGTTGTGTTCGCGACGAGCCTGCCGCACTGGAACGACGCGAACTCGACGTCGGAGACCGCCCAGAAGTTTGTCAAGGCCATGACTAACGCCACGCAACGGACGCCGCTGTCGCTGACGGGTTTCGCTACCGTGCGGCTGCTGCAGACTGTTCTCTCGCGCATGGACAAGGTGACTGCTGAGCTGGTGGCTGACTTCTTCTACATGAACATCGCTGTCACCGTGAATGACATGCTGTACGGATCCTTCGCTAACGGCACGGCGTGTGACGCAGCTGGCGGTGCTGGGTGCGGTAAGAACTACGGGGCGACGCGGATTTCTGTGTGGTCGCTTGCCCGTGCGCTGGACCCCGCCGTGCCCGTGCTGTTCCCCGCCGTGACCCCGTTGATACGGTACGCGGAGCCCGCTGCGCATGGGCTGAAATTACAGGAGCTGATTGGCATCGTCATCGCTGCTGCTGTTGTGCTGCTTGTGGCTGTGGTGGCTGTGGTGGCTGTGGTGGTGCACTTCTGCCGCGACTCGCGTGACAACGCGAATGCGCCGAAGGAGCCGACGGACCCCGTGACGCTCGTGTTCACCGACATCGAGAGCAGCACGGCGCTGTGGTCCGCGTGTTCCGAGGTGATGCCCGACGCCGTGGCGACACACCACCGGCTGATCCGCGCGCTGATCGCGAAGTACAGCAGCTACGAGGTGAAGACGGTTGGTGACTCGTTCATGATAGCGTGCAAGAGTGTGTTCGCCGCCGTGCAGCTTGTGCGTGAGCTGCAGCAGGTGTTCCTTCGGCACGAGTGGGGGACGAGTGCGCTCGACGCCGCGTACCGAAAGTTCGAGGAGGGCCGGGCGGAGGAGGA